ATCAAAGATGGATAATAACAATAATATTAAAGAAAAACTTAGGTCTCACCAAATTAGGAGTACTCAGGAGAGTATTAAAGAGAGGCTAAATGAGAAATCAAGTCTGGTAGATTGGAAGAGCTCGCCACAAGGATTCTCCACGTCAAATTTGAACCGAAATCGACAATATTTCACTACCTAATCATCTTGCACAAGCACCAAAACCCTACCACTTTTCTCTCTCTCTTTCTCTGGTTTTTTTTTTCAGCTGCACCCTCTGCTCCCCGATTCTCCTTCTTCCTTTTCTTTTTTTTTTTGGGTTTGCTGCCCACATGAGCAGCATGCCTTTCATTTTTTGTTGGCATTTGGGCTTAAGGCCCATTATTGGTTCCAGCCCACAAATGGAGCGGAACCCAACAACTATGCATGCGGTCATCATTTATCCTCTAACAAAAAAACTGTATTTTGTCATCTAATGTTTTTATCTTTTCTAAATGCTAGCTCTTCCTATCTCTCTTGGAGTGCCCTATGATCAATTCGGAGTGATGGAAAGGAGGTGAAAAATATATGTTTTATAAGGACTCTAATCTTCTTGTCCTACCAATATGTGCATGATTCGACCTTTAACAAAATTTTCTGAATTTTTTTTCTCCAGTTGATGAAAAGATCTTCAACTAATTGCTCACATAAAGTAGAGATAGATTTACGAAGGCAACTCTTTTTTTTTTTTTTTTTTTTTGTTATTAGTTTATTTATTTACGAAAGGTTCATCGTGTATAGGTTTCAAAAGTACGCAAAACTGGAAAAGTGGCTGTTTAATATAGCGTAGTCTTTAAAAAAAATGTTTGTCTTAAATCTCATAAATAAGTTCCTTGGGATGAAAATATATATACTTGCATCCAACCCTTGTATATATATTGAATTGAAGTACATGAAAATTTTATCTTAAATAGAAAACTTAGTTAAGTCAATGTACATGTTAGCTCCATCCATTTCGTTAATTCAAATCACAATTTAAATTTTTATTATAATATTTTTTTTTATAAAAATTTAAATTTAACTTTTTTTACAATATTTTTTTATATAAATTTTTTTTTTTCATTTAAATTCTTAACTTAAATGAGTCAAACGAGTCCTTAATTTATCAGTAACTATGGAAAATAAGAAGTGCACAAGTGGGACGAAAGAAAATGCTTTTTCCCTCCAATAATTAATAGCTTCTTGTACGCGTGTTTGTTTTTTCTCTTCCTATCGAAGCTTCAATAAATTAGTCTGAGTGTAATCCTAAACAAGCCCTTTACTATGAAGTTTGCAGCCGACATGGTTTTGGATCTTTCTGTTATATGTATTCAGTTTTTATTTTTATTTTTATTTTTTATTTTTTATTTTAGGATCATACAATAGGATTCGTGGACACATCTCAGTTATCTCATAATAAATGTAGTAGTACTTACCACGGAGGAAAAGAAAAATGTCAAATATTACACATGGCTATACTAGATTTCAGTTACTTTTGACCTGCATAATACATAGGGCTCGTTTGATAGAGAGATTTGAACATCAGTTTACAGTTTTATTATAGTGTTCTTTTTTATTAAAAAATTGAATTTAAAAATGTCTGTTATAGTATTTTTTCACACAAAAATTTTAAAAATTTGAATTATAGTTCAAACCACCTGATTTAAGCCATAAAATCTCATATTGTTTTCCGGAGACACGTGATCAAGAGAATTTCTCTAATAGGTTCAGAAAAAATGAACTATTAATAACTATTTGTTTTTAGTCGTTAAATTTGTATTATAAATTGTCTATTTTCCATACTTTCTCAATCTGGTATGATTATCAATAACCCATCTTTTTTTTTGCTAATCCAATAATCCATCTTTTTAAGACCTATTAAAGAAACTCTCCAAGATTAAAAGCTCAGATTGTTTTTTGTAGAAAAAAAGCTCAGGTTTATAACAAAGAAATCAAGTGATAAAGAAAGTAGAAAAAAAAATGATGTTCAGAAAAAGCTAAGACCCTGTAAGTATGCGGCAAGATTATTCATAAAATTATACCACCAAATGTCTGCTTTAGGTGATACTTCGTATTCGTAGTGATTACTATGTGTATCTTCATGTTAGAAATAATAATTGCTTTCTAAGGATGAACATCGAGCGGAATAGAGTCAGATATGCTTCCTCCATTCCCGCCTTTGCTTTTACCTTTGCATCCTATAACCACGTATTTAGGGCCAGGGTCGGGAAATTCCCATCGGTAGACTTTCCCTGTATCTTATCCGTTTATCTAATAAGAAAAAAAATATTACGGCAAATTAAATATAAAATTGATCAACATAAACCCCCACACCCGCCCTCATTCTCATTTCATAACTTCTATACTCGTCTTATTTGAGATGGGTACGCACACGCGCAGGTAAAATGCTCATCCCTACTACTTGTCCATTGTCCACACAAAAATTTTGACGTTCTCAATAGTGTTTGTACGTGGTTCCTAACTTATTATGACATGCTAAAAACTACAATCTTTAACTGATCATCTTCATTTATCATAAATTAAAATAAGGTGAACTTTTATCTTTTTATGTGATTAAAGCTAATTATTAACTTTACTTTGTCATGCACGACAATGCCATATACCATCACATTTTAAAATTAGCGAGAAAAAAGATACCACAAACCTTATCCCATAAAAAAGAAAGACCGAAGAAAGAAAGATATTAGTCTTCTGTAATCTTTTTAGTTTTCTCTATACCACTGGCTACTTTTCCAAAGGATGTCTTTATTTCCTGCTGTCCATTTATGGAGACATATATTGCTTTCTATCTCTTTCTTCCATTAATTACTTTTAAAATAAAATAAGTAAAAACAACAACTTTCCTCGCGACGTTTCATTCATGTTCGATCCTATACTTAGAAATGTTAAACTAATCTTTTGTGTTGTGCAAATTGCGTTGAAAACCCCCTTTATGCGGCGGATTCATCAAATAACTCCTAGAAATTAATTTTTCTGAATAGAAAGGTTTTTTTTTTTTTTTTTAAATCTAAATATTAAGTGTTTAACTTGGGGGTTAGTTTTAGTGAAAGATATCATCTTTTCAACTGTAATTTTAAATAAAACACATTAGATAGAGGATTTTTAAGACGATTGATAAAACAGAAACAATACGTACAACATTCTAAAAAAAACATAAGATTAAAGAATGTAACATTTCGATAAGGCACATAAAAGCTTTCATCTTTATAAAAAGAGGGGGAAAAAAAAAAACATAAATGAAGTATATATATACACATAACTTCTTAAGTACTTTGGTAACACTGACTCCGCTTTGGGCAATTGATTGGCATAAATCCAACCATTTTAATCCAGGCAAGCATCAAACTTGTTGGGCATTAAAAGCTTAGACGTTTCTCGCAGAAGTCAGAAAGTTAGGTCTAAGAATTCAATGAGAAGTGTACGCTCAAATATAATGCAAATCTTGGGCACCCCCAATGGTTTACTTGGAGTTAAGAGGGAAAATTTTGTCTAAACAATTTCAGTAGGTACGAAAATGATGGCACTATTATGGTGGGCAACAACGCAAGTCACGGTTTTCTCTTTGTATTTTCTTTCGGCTTTTGGGCAATTCCATGTGATGATGTGAAATTGCAGGCATGCCATTTAGTGCCCATCTGTGGTGATGTTAAACAAGCGGTCGGATAATTACTTGTCTCTTTGCATTCTCTTGGCTATTGTTATTTACATTACTTTAGTATCGAAATTTTGTTGCCACTTTCTCTAATGAAATGATAAGTAGTTTTCTTTAGTGGGGGAAAAAAATCTATTTGTCGTAACACTAGCGTCTTGGTCAATATTCTTCAATTATTGGTGTCATTCAGTGGAAAAGGAATACCTCTAGTTTGCCTGTGTCTATGCAACAAGATACACTAGTTGTAATTAACTAGAGGTTCAATTGGGAAGGGAATATCTTTCTTTATTCTTCTCGTTTTATATCCATCAATGTCCTATTCTAAACTAAAGACATTAAGAATAATTATTAGGCGTATTTGTTTTAGCTAGCACTTTTATTAATCTTGAATTGCTACAACCATGTGGGCAAACTAGTTTACAAAGACATTTAAACTACCGAACGGCATTGAATAAAAAAAAAAAAAAACAAAAAGAAAGAAACCACCAATGAGTAGTGGTGGTAATGATGTCTTTTTTTTTTTTTTTTTAAATTTTTTCATAATGCTTTCAGGATTTAATATTCAATAATCTCTTTTAAAGTGCATATTTTATTAATATGTTATACAGCGTTAAATGTATGATCATATGAGTGAAAACTGTGTCAATTTTTTTAAATAGAATTGGGTGAAAGTATTTTTGTTATATATATATATATATATCTATATAGTTATACATATATATAGGAAGGAAAAATCGTCCCCCGCATTTGAAAATGAAGGGCAACCATCTCTCAACCTCAAGACCGCCATGTTTAGACAAGTCCCCAATATCTGTCTTGCTCGTGAGTGCTGACTATTCTTCTTCTTCGTACACTACTACAAAAGTTTTTTGAGCTTCCACTCTTTTTCTATATGTATAACATCTAGTCCTCAAACATTTCTTGCACGATCAAACATGATGAGAACTAGATCCAGTATATCTCTTTTCTCTTCATCTATTCTCCCAACAATTCTCATTCTCATATGTCTATTCAATGGAGTGGCAAGCCGTGGAAGTAGGGAAGCATTGGAAATAGTCATAGGCGGAGGCACTCCTACTGCCCCCTCCCCTGAAAATGAGGACTGTCCTCCTCCTACCGAGCCCGA